GAGAGAGAGGGGAGAAAGAGAGAGGGGAGAGAGAGAGAGGGGAGAGAGAGAGAGGAGAGAGAGAGAGAGGAGAGAGAGAGGAGAGAGAAGAGACAGAGAGAAAAAGAAACATCTCTCCCCACACACCTACTGTACATATTCAGAAGAATACCTGCAAAAGTTTCCAACGCATATTAAGATCATCCAGTTGACGAGACATCTTTAAAGATGGATAAAGGTCAAGTGGAGACAGTTGACTGGACAAATCATTCACTGTTTTAACTTTTAAGTTGATGGGAGCAATTTCTTCTCTAAAAGCCTTAAAGAGTAAGAAACATACACTTATGTTCAAGGGACATATGAGCAGCACAAAAGCCCCAGTAAGCTCAACACAGTTCTGACCCACCCAGAGTGGCAGCGTATGCTGAACAACTTGACACAAGTCAGTTCTCAGCAAAGTTCCCTCACTTCAGTGTTCTTACTATATCATTCATACCCATCTTTAGAGAAAAACAGTATGAAACTTGCTCAAATGCCCATAAGCAAATTGTGCCCCTAAATGATTTAAATCATTTTTTAGTGGTGCCATATGGCTTAAGAGTTTTTCATCACAGAAGGAAATACACAGTGCCATATTAGGAGCTTTAGCAGCAAACAGCCTGCCAAGTGTTCTTAGGAAAACATGTGTTCAGTAGCTACAGCTTTCCAGTATTAAGCAGCTGACAAAAATTCAATTTAAAAACTATTATTGAATTAGCAAAGCATGAAGGAATTTATCTTCTAAGGAAAAGGAGTACAATGTTTTACCTGATTAGAACCACAGAGTAAAACAATTACAAATGACTAAAAAGACGTAAAAGGTTTATTGAATCAAATAGAACTAAATACAGTATTACGGCAAAATTGATGCAAGTTTTAGTTACTGTTAAAAAGATGCATCAAATATCTCTTTTGCTGTGAGCAGTTAAGTGTTCAATCCTATAAACAGCTTGATTGAACACCATGAAATGAGCCAAAAACAACTGTTAAAAAAGCATTTTCTTTGGATAATTCAATTATTTACCTCCCTTCAAAAATCACTCATCAGGCCAAGGAACATGCTGGCAAGAAAGAAGCACTGGGCTTCTGGACAGCCAGCAGACCCTTATTAGTTCAGCAGATGTTTCAGTTTTTCCACTGACTGAAAGACTTTGCTTTACTCTACAGAAAAAGTCATTGAGATATGACAAATCATTTCTTAACATGAGAACAAGAAGCTATTCAGGATTAGCCCAAGCTGAAGACATGGCTGGTCAGGTAAACAACCCCAGGGTCTTCCAGTGTTTTGCCATATTCACCCTTAAGCTTAAAAACTGAAAAGTTGTGTTTGTGAAACAGAAGCTTAGTGATAAGTGCTAAATTTGCCCCAAACAGCAATTTTCTCTACCTACATGTGCATACCAACGTGCTCTCCTGGAATCCCGGATATTCAGGCACTTTCTCAAGCACTGTACTCTTTCCAGTCAGCTTTCCTGGATGATAGTTATCAAAAGATATCCCTTCTTTGCGGAGCTCTGCATTACTGGATCCCTACCCAACCCAGGAAGCTAAGCAGGGGAGGACTACTACCCATCACGAGCAGCCATGCCTTGGGATGCTGAGCCCTGCATGGGCAGCAAGAATGTTATATAGTAGTATGTGTTCTTCACTTTGAAATAATCCTGATGAGAAGTCAGGTTAAAGTAAAAGCAAATGGTCACTCATATGAACTAAAACAGGTAATAGATGTGTGAAGTTTGTGAAAGTTAAGAAGTAGAAATTAAAACTACTTATACACGTCTGCATGACTGAAAAAGCTCTAAATGTTTTCCTAACAAGAAAGCTATACATGATGGCCAATCAGATCTGACAGTTCACCACTACAAAAAGCAAGGGAGCTATTGTCAACTGCTGGAATGACAACTGACTCAGCACATTCACATTCCAGTGCCTGGGCAGAGCTCCAAACAAACCCAAAGCCTAATTATGGATTAGAAAGCATTTAGAGGAGGAAAATATTTAATTCCCAGAACACATCTTTTTCATTTAATCAGTGTTATTTTCTGTACACACCTGTAGCTTGTTGATCACATGTGCTTATGCAACCCCAGCCAACACAGTCAATGTGGTACAGCACTGGACTTTGAGACCTCAGATATGGTCTTTAAAGAGCACCTTATACCACACAGTGATATATGTACATAGATATGTACACAGTGTGTACATATCTAATGTGTCTAGAGGTAGTAGAATGAGAAGGTCTGACACATACACACACGCAGGCTAAATATTACCCTGGAGTTCCATACTTACTGTAGTTTTCTCAATGTGATCTGGTAACGAATCTATGAGCAAGTCTCCTACAGGTTTCCAGCCATTCCTCACATTTTCGGCCTCCTTCAAATCAGCATCGAGGTCATCCATGGCACACTGCAGGTCTTTCAGTTTTTCTAATGCTTTGTCCACTTGCTTCTGCCAGATACTGGCGCTGGCATTTAGGTTCTCCCACTTCTCTTTTACCTCTGATGACTGTTTACGCATAACTTTGGCAATTCTCATGGCTTTCTCCTCGGGGGTCAATTCTGCAAAGGGAAAGAAGAGTTACACTGTTTCTTTGTGTCTAATTCAACAGATAGTGCACCTGAGATACACACTCAAGACAGTCAGTAAGTCCAGTGTCAACTGACAATTTATTTCAGCAGGTACAAGGTAGAAGAAGGTCTACCTTGCCATAACTGAAATAAACCTCAGTCACTCCTACTGACAAAATAAAACTTGATCAGAAGACAGGAAACTATTCCTGACTTCCATATATTATGATAACCACAAAGCAAAAGCAGCTTAATTCTGGTTTGTCACTTTTAGAGGCATGAGGCAAGGAAATAAAAGGTCTTTTTTCCCTACTGAAAACTGCAATAGGGAATCTGTGGACCATTTCATGTAGAACGAGCAAGAACAGTGCTTTGTTCCTGGATCACTCACCATGCTTTCACTCTACTACCAGGACGTCTCCTAAAATCCACTAGCAAAATCCAAGGTATACTGAGTACCAT